CTGTCGATCGGATCGCGGCGAGGGGCCGGCCGGCTCGCGGTCGGATCGCGGCGCGGGCCGGTTTGACAACCACTGCGGGACCCGGCCCATGACCGGCCCTAAAATTGGACTTATTACAACTTATAGAGCGCGATTTGAACGCTCCGCTCAATAACATACATTATCCCCAATCCATATGATTTAATGAAATCCCTCTAAACTCTCCACTTAGCCTCAGTACCTTCTCGCGCGGTGCACACACACCTCCCTTCTATCTCGGCTTTTTTCGTGTATGTAACGCGCGCTCCGGCGAGATTGCTACGTGCTGGACGGGGCGAGAGCGGATTGCGAACCGTCGGCGAACAGAGAGAGAGAGAGAGAGAGAGAGAGGGATGGAAGGACAAGGGGAAAACGAGAGAGCGTCTTTCTCATTCTCTAGACGGCGCGGAGTCGGTTGGCACGTTCCGATCGCGGAGGATACTTAAAACGCGTTTCGCGAATTTTATAACCTCGACAATAGGTATTCTCAGTCGCGATACGCAGCGCGATGAAGACGTTTGCCGGTGAGTGGATTTTAGGTGAATCTAGGAAAGACGAACTCTTCTCGTAGAACCGAGAATAGGATTAAAGAGTAGACACTTAACTCGTTTCAGTGTTCGAGAACAATAGATTCACGGGCCTAGTGAATCTTCCGAGCGAGTTGTCTCTCGGCGGAGTCGAAATTCGCAGAAGAGGATCCCATCATCCGCGTCTTCGTTCCCCCACGTTCGTCTTGTCCAGCGATAGGGAAAAGGATCGCGGTGGAACACAGAGTCGCGAGGCGATCAGGCCCAGAGCGAAACGCGAGAACGACGATAAAACACAATTTGAGGCTTAAAGAGCCCGCTCGCTGCTATAACTCGCCACCCCTTCGCCTCCGCGGAGCTGGTCCGCCACCGCCGCCGCCGCCGCCGCCGCCGCTGCCACCACCTTGCCCCTCTCGTGGCTGATGAGGTGACAACCCATAATTATACAGACCGCTTTCTGTCTGGCCTGACTGCAGTGGCATGCAGAGAGGAGAGAGGCCTCCATCATCCACCTCCTCTCCTGGCCCCCCTCCCCGCCGCCTCCCGAGCCAGAAACCCTTCTTGACCGCGCGCATTCTCTCCCTCGTGTCTCTCTTCCATCTCCTATCTGCTCGGATCTCGCCTTTTTCTCCGCTCTCGCCCTTCCCCTGGGCGCCCCTCGCTCCCCCCGCCTCACCCCTTCGCTCTATCTTCCGTCCCCGCGAGTAATTCTCGCGTCCGTCGGGTTCCGGGCTCTCCGCCGGTCACTTCCCGGGCCGCCTTTAATAACGATACGCTCTCCATGGGAGAAGAAGCGAAATCGAACGAGGCGGCCGGACGAAGGGGGTGGGACGCTGCGACCGCCTAACCTGCGCCTCCCCCTCCTGCCCGCGCCACCCTCGCCGGGCCGCCGTTCCGTCGGCGGAACACGTAGATAGCGAGGATAGCGGATCGCGCGCTACTTCTTTCCCGGTGTTAATTACAAAACGCGAGAATAAATTGCCGGGCTAAATGAGCGTGGCCGCGCATCGCGTCGGCGAACCGTCCTTCTCGCTCCTCCGACGCGCGTTCTGCTTCTATCGTCGCGTCCGTGGAACGACGGACAGATGAATGGAGGAGCGAGCGAGCGAGCGGGCGAGCGAACGAGCGAGCGAGTATGCCGACACAGGTGGAATTTGTTATGCGTCGCGAACACCGGTCGCCGGACGGAGTTTCCTCGGGTTGGGGACGGACAGCTGGAAATCTCGCGGGGAGATAATGAGACGCGCGGAGCGGGGGCCGGATTGTTATTGGTAGCTGGTTTTCTCCGTTCGTGGGAAATTTGGAGGTGTGCGAATCGCGTGGAATGCACGGGATACCGGGAATGCGCTCGGCCTTTGCGCACGAATGTTTTTCTGTTGGAACGCGCAGCATTTTCTTTGGGACTCGCCCATGGCGAATATTATAGTAACCGTTTCCCGACGAATGCCTGAGATCGAACTTTCATGTTTGCGATACTAAGTAGATCTAACTACTCGAACAGCAAGAAACCATAGCTCTCTTATTCAATATCATTTAGATATTCGTTGAATTTCCCAAATCTGCAGGTTTCGTATATTAAAGGATCTTCGCCATATCAAAGTAGGATTTCATCGCTTCGCTGTATCAGATCGATCGGTGACCGTCATCTTCGAGGGTTCGACATCCGAAGCGTAGCGATTTCTGTAACGTCTCCCGGGAAATACTTGCCGTCGTAATTCCATCTTCCTGTTCTCTCTTCTTACGTTCGAATTTATGTTCCGCTGGTTCATTTCCTCTCGAATTTGCATGATCCGATACTCGAGTTTGCCGAGGAACTCGCAAACGCCGGCGCATTCCACGGGCGCGCGCGCTCGGAACTTTTCGATCTTTGCCTAGAGGATGCACCGAAGGTTCTCCGCTTTCTCTGTTCCCCCCTCTGGTTCCTTTGTATCTTTCCGTCAGCGGTTTTCTCGTCCAAGGAAACGGGGATCCTTTGCTCGAGTGACCAGCGCGAGAGAGAGAGAGACGACGCACCGGGTGAAATTATTCGGAAAATTTCCCCTTTGTCCCGTGGACGCCACCCGTGGGACAGGGAGAGTTCGATGTTTCCGCGCCTATTGTTCTTACCAAGCGACGAAGAAAACGCTCGCCGGGAACACGTCGCGCTCGTTCCCCCGGCCTATCTTTCACGGGTCGCGTTATTTGCGCTTTAGGTATGTATATGTTTACCCTCGACACCGACTCCCTCAAAACCCTTGGATTTAACCCTCGAACACCGACCCTCCTCGGCTCCGCGGCCGATGACATCGCGGCCCTTTAAGTGCCTTCGAACGTCACCCCAACTTCTTTCTTCCTTCGTCCCGTCCTCCTCTCCTTTCTTCCTCGTCCGTGCGCTTTCGTGACTTTGGCGGAGCGTCTGCGCGCTTCGCCTGCGCTGCCGATGCACAGTTGAATACCAGTTCCGAAGCGATTCAATGCTTCTCAGACGACACTCGAATCGCTTCGAAGATTCGACGCTACTCTCGAATGTCTCAAT